TTCGGTAGATTTAATACAGAGGCAGGAAAGTGGCAAGGAGGAACTCAGATAATGTAGAGGCTTATTAACTGCCAACTGTGTTTCTGAAAACTTGTGTTAGCACGTGAAATGAGAAACCCATAGTCACCTAGCTTTTGGTGGTGGGGGAAAAGATCAAATGTTGAGGGAAGGCCACTGAAGCCACTGTCAGTAGTAGGACACTAGCAGGAGCAGTGTGGTTCCTGGACATAGAAAGACCTATGGCAGTGAGCTAGACCAGAGGCATGAAGGGACAGCCCAGAGGAAGTTTTGACCAAGGGTTTGGGAGGCATGGAGAAAAAATGGCCTACACTGGTATTCTTGTGAGGATGTAATCCCTTCAACAAAGCATCTGATGTAAATCCAATCTTTGCTCAATGTGTGTGAATAAAGCCAGGGCAGAGAACTTTGCCAGCGGGAGAGGTTTGGAGGAGAATGCCAGTGAATTTTAGCCTGCACATTTCCAGTCAGCTTTCTTTCTGTTTATTCCATCAGCACTGTAACTTCCCAACATAATTTGAGCTCTCTTCTGTGTTGTATTGTTAATAATAAAATCAATTTTGAATTTATTAAATTGTCTTGAGTGTTTTATCTTGCCTTTCCTCTAAGAAGTTCACGGTTTTGTATGTTGGATCATTCAGGTAGGCAGGAAGAGGTGATGTTGTCCTCGGTCCACTTCTAGGCTGCTGGGAATTTGCCTTCCCACTGAGAGTTCCTGTTCTGCATCAAACATAATGTTTTTCCTGCTGGTGCAAGCAGGACACTCTGTTACACCTCCATTGCAGATGGCTGGTCTGTACTTTGATGGTAACTCCAGACCCTGCTTCCTGCCTTTGACCTTCATTTCATGATGAGCTGATGGCTTGCTTCCCATGAAATGCTGGACAGAAAAAGATTTCTGGAAAAAAAAAACTTCATTTCCAGATAGGTTACACATGGGTGTCAAGCAACTTTAGGGTGCAGTGCAGAAAAGTCCAACCCTTTAACTGTGAAGTCTGAGAGTGTTCCTTGTCTACTGCTAACACTCTCATGTACCCATGAAACCTCTATTGACAACTTCCTCAATAGGCATACTTCACTGTGTTCTGAGCAATGTTTATGGAGAATATTTATTTATTTATTTATTTATCAAATTTATATCACTGCCCAACTCCCCCACAAGGAGGGACTCTGGGTGGTTGACAACCAAACAGTTAAAACCAATGAAAACATAAATAGTACCA